GGGGGGGGGGGTCCTGAACCCTCTTTCGAGTTCTAAAAAAATCACACTAATTGATAAAGTCCAGGAAATGAAAAGAAACGATATATCGAATCATCTTAATTCACACATCATCCATTTTATGCATTTATATAATTATCAATGCTCCCGTGTAAAATACGTTAACGACTGAGATAAAGAGTTAAATTTCCACCACTGACACAGTGGCAGATTTAGGGGTGGTGTGTCAGGGGGTCCTAACACTCCCCCCCCCCCCCCTTCGATTTCTAAAAAAAAAACACTAATATTTTCCTCTTGAAATAAACTTTTTGACCAGCTGAATCATAGATCTAAACGGTATCAATTGACACCGTCCGCCCTCTGACATACCACAAAGATTCGGGCCCTCTGAACCCCACGGCAAGGGGGGGGGGGGGGTCGGCCTCACATCCGAGGACCCCCCCTTCAAATATTCCTGGATATCTACCCCTGAAACCGATCATGCACTATCGTAGGCATACACCGTTCAGTTCACAAACATAACCTCCAAACTTGTAAATTAATTCTATTGGAGTCACTTGTTTGTGCATTCGACTCATTTCATGGCCTTTCATGTAAATATACAACGTAAGTGTAGCCTACTTTACTGATGATCTTGATTGAAAGGTTGAGGGGTATTTCGCCTCAAAGTGTTTGAATAACTTTCAAAAGCGTGTATATCGGACATGAATAAATATTTATCTTCTTTTGAGGGCGTTTTTTTTCACACTCAGTTTGGCATTTATTTTGGCATAGTTACTCATTTTTTTCAAAATTTCCACTCTCATGTTCACGAATTTGGTTTCCATGTTCTCATTTTAATCTTTATCCGCAGTTTGGCATTCCTGCTACGCCACAGAATTACTTTATTTGTATAGCATGATCATAATAGTGTGACAACGTTCTTACGTAGCGCATTCTTCTTTGTTGCATTGTCATACGGAGTTTTATTACATTTGATACATACGTTACCTATATTCTTAATAATTCAACTGCTCACAACATCTGGTGAGCCAACAACTAATCTGTACTGTGTATTGCGTTACAAAAAGAGGGAAACTGGACAAAACAGAGATGTAATCTTCAAACTATTTTTATGATACAAACGTTGTCGATACATTCGTTACCAAACTGAGTGTAGAGAAGTTTTATTCTTTTACATCGTTTGTTTACCGTTTGCGTTACTATATGTGAGTGCGTGCGAGGTCGTTAATGTGTGCCCGTATGTTTTTACATGGCACATTCTTCTTTGTTGCGTTGTCATTCGGAGTTTTATTACATTTGATGCATACGTTACCCAGGAGCAAAAATGGTCATTAGCTTGGTAGATGGATCATTAATGATAATTATCCAACACAAGCCTATATGTTCATACCGTTAGCTTACGGCCAACGCCGACACTCTTATTAATGTCATGAAGAAGGCCTACGTCCAGGTTGGCCGTAAGCTAAAGGTATGAAAGTATTTCGGCTTGATTAATTTTCATTTACGTTACCTGTAATTTTATTAAGTTTTAGCTGCTCATACCATCTGGTGATCCAACACCTACAGGTATTTTACTGTGTGTTTTACGTTACAACACATAAGGAACTGGGGCGGGGGGTGGAGTAATTGTTTTCTTACAATTTCACTAAATATTTGTGTTGAAATTTGTGTTGTTATTTAAATTTCTAATATATCTCCCTCACCTGTACACCTATCAATACCGTAGTAACGCCTATATAATCGCAGCATTCACTTTCAACCCTTGACCTCCACGTACACATACGAACATACACGATACACACCGAACGCAATCATAGCTAACACAACAAACACAGCAAACCTTACATGTGGAACCCCCTTCGAATAATCCTGGATCCACCTCTGAGTTGAACTAACAAACGGTTTCATTCACCTTAAATGTGGATGCATGGCTCCCAAAAACAACCAATTGTACGACACGACAGAGCTCTGATACATCTAAGTTTAATTATTTGTTTGTAAAAATTGCCCATGTCACCCTGTTAGTTTGGAGGGGTAAGCTGGGTCAAGTCCGTGTCAAAAATCTTTGAAGCTTTGCAGGAAAAATTCTTCCTTTGTTTCTCTAGCTCCTTGTTAAACCTGGTGTCCAGATATTATCTAGCGCCCCAAGGGTTGCGGGAGCTGCTCTTTGAAAATAACACTCAGGCAGATTTTAACCTTAGATAAACCTATAGAAAGAGGGTACAGAAGAGCTGAGGGCCACTGAACCCTCCAATTAAGAGGTAAAGGAAGTTTCAGTTAGATGGACGATTAAGATAGGACTTGTTAAGGTTACAGGCATTGTTTACCTCAGATTGCAAGACGGGGGAGGGGAGGGGGGGGTCAGAACAATTGTGCCTATACAATTGATACAGAGGATTTGTACATAAAGGTGACTTTAATAAGCAGAGGATTTTCTTTTATATTCCGTGAAAAATACACTAAATTTATATAAAACAATATCATGGTTGGCCAAAAAATTGTACGCACAGTGCATCCGTGCGTATGCCTAGTTACGCCCATGTTCAGTCCTACAATCAGTGCCGGGGGAATCTTTTCGAAAGGCTCAGGCCTTCTATTTTATCGGTATGTAGGCGAGACAATTCCTTTGTTTGACGGAACATCGTAATTAGAGATCAAGGCTCCCATATCTCACAAATAGACTGATAATTAAACTGGCATTTTGTCCAAGGCACGAGTATCAAATTATAAGAAAAAGACTTATCATTATATAAAATTGAGTGCTTTGTGTTGGAAATAAGCAAAAATAATTAGGAATGAAAATAACGGGAAAAAGTACCATTGTATCAGGTTATTTCTTCTAGTCGTTTTGGAATAAACGAGATTTCTTCCTCTAACACTATATCTCTGTATTCTTGTAAGCATCGAGGTTTTCAATACAAAAAGGGTCACACTTTTTTTATCCAATCTTATGTATAACACAGTCACCTGAGCCATTTTTGTTCCTTAGATAGGAG